ACAATACTCTTACCCCCTTCCAAATCATGAAGTTGATTCTAAAGCGTCCGTGGTTTATCCCAAAATGCAAACTTTCAAACGCATACCCAAAAAACAGCCACATCCATGACGACGGGTCCGGGAGCAAGGATTTATGTTCTATCCCGCGCCGGCGAATCCAAAGAGTACGAGTCTCAAAGTTTTGCATCATGCGAAAGTTCTTGCTTTCTTTTCCACTCCTTAACATCTACCTTACCCAGCATTATTTCGTGAAACGAACTGATCCCACTTACACCCTTCCGCCTACGATCTGTTTTGCGAGGTGTGCGCTGTACGCGGAAGACTGTGAAGGAACCGGTACCAAAATGATAAAGCAAAGCGATCGAAAATTCAGATGCAACTTGCAAGCCCTACAGTAATTTCACGGGCCAGGCTCCGGACTACTACTTTTTGGGGAGTGCAATTGGCGAGATGGGGTTTAAAGATACTGGAGAAGTTGTTGGGACATGCGGAAGCTCGGTCCTTGACGTCCCAACGGTAAATTAAGATCCCTGAATTTAATTAAAGAACAATTACAAAGTTTTTTTTCCACGTTTTTAGCCGATCTGCGACGATGGCTGGACGCTTGGCAATAAGACGGATAGATGTTTTATGGTTTGAACACTTGATATACAGGGTGTTCCAATAAACAAAGGTCATGCTGGCATTTTGCCATTTCGGCTTCGACCAACTCGAAATTTTTAACCGAGGTAAAGAAAGGTATTTAAGATGTTCACGGTGACCTTTTGGCCTGTTAGCTACTGTAGTTCTCGAGTTATGGCAAAGATACTCCTTAATTCACGTTTTTGTCGCTGTGAATTTGCTGGAATTAGGCCTTCGAATTTATCGTGAAAATGAAAAGCGAACCCTCTTTGATCTTAGGCAATTTTCTACTTCTACTTTCTACTTCTATTTTGGAAATAGGCTATTTGAGTCATTTAGCAACGTATAAACGACCCCGATCCAAAGCGGAACAAGCGATTCGGAGCCGGATGTCGCTGTTAATTGTTGCAAGGACAGATCGATCGAGTTTGAAATGGCAAAAATCCAGCGTGACCTTTTTTAGTTGGGACACCCTGCAAATTTTTTGCTAACTGTTTTCCGGACGCAATTAAAGAATCAGGTTTTGTCTCTTTTAGTGGATTGAAGGCCTCGCGCGGAGTTTTGAGGACGGCAGAACAACATGTCAGAATCAGGGAGCCGATCTACCAATTCTACACAGAGCCGCCGAAAATGATGCCCTGTTTCGTAAGTCGAAAGCTAGATTTCGAAATTAAGCCAATTCTTGAAGACTTCTGGCGCTCGAACAACGCAGACAACGACCATTGGCTATGGATCGGGGCTACTAGGGTACGTGTTATTTTTGGCAAAAGTCCGGAAATGTCTGGCTATGCAATTGTGGTTATACTGGGTGTCCCAAAAACCTCAGCCCCCCTAGCCGGCCGCAGACGTGTCTGATTTTTACGATTTAGGTATCTAGCGAAAGCTCTCGGAAAGTCGGGTCCAGCACGTCTATCCGATTCTCAATGTTTTGAATTTTTTTATGACGTTTACTAATGTTTTTGCGAAATGGGCGGAATTACTGATCTTTTTCTGAACGTAAAGTTTTTTACAGAACTTACAAATTAAGAATTTTTACGCCTTTCTTGGCAGCCAAACGGCTGCGTTTTGCAACTGCTTAGATAGCGCGACGTTCCGAGGACTTTCGGTAGATACCCAAATCGTAAAAATCGGACCTGTATGTGGCCGGCTGGGGGGGGTGATTTTTTTAGACACCCTGTATGAAGTGTTATTAGCAAAAATTAACTATACTTTAAGTGGAAAGCCTTTTCAAAACCATCCAAAAACCATTAAAACCCTTTTCAAATTCAAAAATTTTTGGCAAAAGGGAACGCTTTTGGAGGAAACTAAATAAAATTTAATCCCCTGCCCCGATAATGCAAAAAATCAAACTTTCTCGAAATATTGATTTTCAAAGGGCTTTCACAAGATGAAGCATTCCGGACGCGTACGCTACCTTCAGACAGGACCGGGGCTTTTCGATGTGACCTGGATTGACGGGACCCCAGTTGACTACTCAAATTATGCCAGTGCACAAATCGATAATTATGGAGGCGATGAGGAATGCTTTGAGGTTAAATACCATAGATGATACACCTCAAAAATTTAATTTGGGCTCAAGTGCAGTTTACCCCCGCCCCCCAGTCGGCACCCACCTACCGTATCTCGGCTTCCTGTTCATCTAAAGATGTGTGAAGTATACCAAAATACTCACCAGAGCAAGACGAACATTTTGGTATACTTTACACACCTGTAGATAAACAGGGAGCCGAGATACAAAAGTTGGGTGCCGGCTGGGCGAGGGGGGGGGGTAAACTTTACCCCTAATTTAAATTGAAGCTAAACAATAATAACTGGTGGAATGATATCGGCTGTGCTACCGAGCACTATTTGGTTTGCCAGAAGGCGGCGGTCTGTGTATTTGGACTGTATTAAATAAAAAAAATTTAGAAATGGATTAACTCCCAGGGTGCGGAAGTCAGCTTTCCGTGAGAATACGCAAACTTTCTTCGGGAGCTCGAGAATTTGTTCACGCATAAATATACGACAATTTAAAAAAAACACGTAATAAAGCGCAACAATTTTGAAAAACAATTCCCTTTTTTTGCTCCAGCTTTTCTGGGTATTGGCGACCCCTAGCTCAGATCGCCAACTGCCCAGAAGCTGGTAGAACAACGAGGCTAGCATGTGTTCCAAATTCCCTCACCTCCGCCGCCCGATTTACGACTTCCGCAACGTTCCAACTGACGCCCGCCTCGCCTTTGGTATCGAGGGGAAAAATGTACGAGGTCACACGGGAGAAAGCTCTGCGCCATTCGACTTGCTCATCTTTTCACATGCTTACCCCCACGCTCAAGTAGGTTAGCTACCAGTCTGTCGTTTACGCCATCAAATTTCGGAAGCCGGGCAAGCTGTGGGGACGATTCGCTGTAAAGCGCGCAAAAATGATGTCTTTCCTTGTATTCATGCTCTTTTTGGAATATTCAGCCGCCAGCATGCCGCCCGGAAGCGACGCAAGTAAGCTTCTTTGAAAGTTGGTAGCAACAGTGGTTCCAATTCTACGGCGCGTGTCGCGTGTCGCGTATCGCGCTGCGTGTTGCATGTTGCGCATAGCGCTGCGTGCCGGTTATCGCGTTGCATGTCGGTTCCGTGGGCCGTATCGCGCTACTTGTCGCATGTCGCGCGTGGAATTGCGAGTACGTGTGGGGCATAGGGCTACGTGCCGCGTTGCGCGCTGCGCCATGGTATTGCTTGTCGCGTTTCGCCTCGTGTTCTGCCTGCACGTGGGGTGTAGCGTGTCGCGTCGCGTTTGCCTGTCGCGGCCTGAATGGAGCCTTACATGCTCTAAACACCTCTTCAGGAAGCATCCCTTGGATTGATACGAATATCCCTAAAGAAATCTCCTCCATAACTCTGAGAAAAAATGCAACGCTGTTGGAAGAAAAGAATGGTCGTGTCTCACATTACGTGAGGGGACACGCATTTGTAAGCGATCCCATGCTCGCAACCAAAAATCGAAACCTTAGGACTGGGAGAAGCAGATTTTCTATGGGCTCAAGGTCGAGCTCGAATTCCCAATGGAGTCCGGGCGGGTTTATCGCGATTTCGAGTTCGAAGACGTCTTTGAGGAGGGGACTTTTCATGTGGAGTCAGTTTAGTTGCCGATCTTAAGGCTTAAATAGCTATTAAGGATTGTTGGCAACCGGAAGAACAAGCTGAATTTTGTGATACCGAAGGGGATTGTCGTTTTCACGTAAGGGTATCTGGAAATCAGATAAGTGTTATAGGTATAACAAGACAGCCCCAGAATTTAATGCAACCTTCACTCCGGTGTTGTTGCCGAACGGAAGCAGTGAGTATTCGAATTTCACTAGCTGGAACAGGAAGAGAGAGAGAGAGAGAGAAGAGAGAGAGAGAGAGAGACAAAGAGAAGGTGCCAGACCCCCAGAGTTAAAGTAACTCTTCAGGTTGCGACTGCCCAGTCTTCGGTATGATGTCAGGAGGCGAAGGCGATGACGGGCTGGTCCGGGGCAGGAATTTCAAAGGAGAATATCCGCAGGCATGACGAAAGCCCAAACAACCTTGTCTTATTATGGTTTAATCTTTCCTTTCCAAATTTTTCAGGATTGCGGACTTGATGCCCACGCCGGTTTCGTGTGCGGCTGGGTTTTCGGCGGTTGGAGGGGGCCAAGTACGGTCGTTTCCTCTGGACACCTAGCCACTGGTGATTTGCTCTACGTCCGAGACCTGACTACGAGGAAAGCCACCTGGTAATTCTCTTCTCGGAGCGCCGATTTCGCTGCTTTTAGCTTAAACATGACGGCAACTCCGGAGACACTCGGCATCCCACAGAATCACGATTTTGCGATCTACTTTTTTGGCTCAAAGAAGCCCGACTCGACCCGGAAACTTGACATCGTTTTCAATTACAATAATAAGGCGTGAAAAAGAATAAAAGGTTTTCCTGTTACTGTGACCTCTGCAACGTGGACACACATAGTTCTTGAGGAGAGCGACTAGTTCTCTCTCTCTCTCTCTCTCTCTCTCTCTCTCTCTCTCGCTCTCTTCCCTCTCTCTCGCTCTCTCTATTTCTCTCTTTCTCTTTTCCCTCCCGCCTCGCCGCCTTTTTGCTTTTAATGACTTCCTTGCCGGCCAACTGACGCCCTGTATCCCTTGTCCGTTTGACACACTTTTCTATGCTCTCTTTTTCTGTCTGTCTCTCTCTCGCTCTCTCTCTCTCTTTCTCTATGGCTCTTAATTTCTCTCATTCTCGCTCTCTCCATAGAAAAGTCTTTATTCATGACGACTGCAGGGAAAGGGTGTTAACTTTTAAGCAATTTTAAGGGTGGTGAGAATTGTTTGTGCGTTGAATCGGGCTTTGTTCTGGCTGGACGGCTTGGAGTCGAGGGTGATGTTGCTCACTTCTTCTTGTCCGCTAAAAAAATATTGGATCTGAGAGAGAATGGAAAGAAAAATACCTTTAGAAGCGCCCGGCTTGGCGTCCTTGCCCTTCTCGGGGGTGGTCTTCTTGTCGGGTTCGGTGGACTTGCCGGCGGCGGGGGACTTGGCGTCCTTCTTGTCCTTGATGAGTTTGGCCGTCTTGTGCTCCGATTTTTTCTCCTCCCAATCCCATGGGTATTCCTGGAAAGAGATAGATTTTAGGAGGCCGAGAGAGAAACAGAGAAATAGAGAGAGAGGGAGAGAGAGAGAGAGACCTACCTCAAGATCGTTGAGGCACAGTGAATTCTGGAGCAGCCCATAGATGGTGTTGTAGTCGGGGTCGTCTGAATAGCCCAGCGCGTCGATCGCTTCGATGATCTTGATGAACTCGATGGGCATCCCTAAAATCCGCGAATGCCTAGGCCACCGTACGCTCCGACGTACCCCCAAGCAAATAGCGCAGGCCGTTGGGGGTGCGCACCTGAGTCTGCGTCGAGAGCAGGTCGGCTTTGTTCTAGGACACCACGTCGGTTTGTTGCTGCAAAAGTGCATACCGTAATATTACACCACGGGAGCGATCCCTTGCAGAACTCAATGACCATGTAGAGCCACATCTCGAGGTCGTCCTTGCGGCAGAGCTCTTCGCGCTTTAGACAACGTCGGGATGCGTACCTGGAGATGTACAGTGAGAAGAGAGAGAGAGCGAGGGAGAGAGAGATAGAGAGCCATAGCTGCTACCTGATATTCCCCTTGTAAAGCCACGGATCCGTGCGCGGCACCTTGATCTCGCCGTGCTTGTTCTTGTACTGGTGGGCGAGCCCGAAATCCAAGCAGTACACCTATGCACGTCTTGCCATTCGGTCTACAGTACCCACCACACGCTTCTCCTTCGTATCCTGGCGCCCGACGGAAAAGTTGGTCGGGCTGACGTCACGGTGGATGTAGCCGAGGTCGTGCAGCGTCTCCAGGGCCTAAAACTCCGGTCTTCGGTCCTCTTAAATCCCGATACCTTAAGGCACTGAATCGACACCGAGATGCCGCAGCCGAGGGTGAAGCGGCGGAGGGGCTGCTCTTTGCGCAGGGCCTAGGGCGTACCATTTACATACCGTAATGCCTCCGTACCCTCAGGCTCTTCCCGCACAGCGTCAGCACGAACCAGTTGAACGTCTTCTCCTGCCCGCGATCATAGACCTGAAAAAAATTCTGCATTTTCTAGAAAGTAGGAAAATACCGTAGGGAAGTTCTTCAGCTTCTCCTGCTTTTCGAGCTCGAGCAAGATGAAGAGCTCGTTTTTGAGGACACCCTCCTTCTCCTCGGCTCGCTCAGCCTAGAATTAAAACTATAAAAATCGATAAAACTGACGAACCCTGAGCACAAATTTCTCCTTCTTCTTCTCGACGATAAAGTTGAAGATGGGGTACAGGAAGGCTTCCGGCTGGATCGGCGTGTCGACCACGTACTCCCCAACTTTGGTGCCCTGAAAAAATGAGTCTGGTACTGGACTGCTAGCGGGGACCAATTTCCCTCCAGCCATCCCGTAGAGCCTATAGTAAAATATCATCCATTTTTAGCTATCAAAAGCACATAACAAAATCCATTAAAATCAAATTTTTAACCGTTTTATGTAATTTTCTGGCACCTAGAGCGCTATAAAAATGCATTAGATGTAATCAACCAATTAAATGAGTTTGAGTAAAAAGCACCTTCTCCAGCTCAAGCGGTGGCGCCATCTCCTCCTCCCCGGGCGGTGGCGCACCCTCCGGCTTCTCCTCCGCCTAAAAATCAATTCAATAAAAAAAAACGCATAAAAATTAGAACGCCAAAATTTACATACCTTTTTCTCGGGAGTACTCATTGCTGGCGGCCCGTGTGTTGGGTAGAGGGGCGAGTGAAAATTTTTTCGGCCGATTCGTTATCCAGGGAACAGGATTTAAGGAAATTTATGCAAATTTCAAAAAATATTTTAACGTTTTTTGAAATGGAGGATGCTAAATAAAGATTTCTTTTCTTATTTACTGTATTGATTTAAACAAAAAGTGATGTTTTTCGCTGTAGCGGAAGAATAGAGTAGTAAAACGTAGTTTTCGTCGATAGTTTTTCGACATAAATATTTATTGTAGTCAAAATCGGGACACCAATGAAGGGTAATGATAAGCTCTGGCCGGTTGAAAGATTGGAATTTCCGCATCATCATCCAGGGTCCGAATCCGTTTCTCGAGCTGCGAAATCTGACGGCATGCCTCCGGGTTCACATATTTTCGCTTATATAGTGCGCTCATAAATTTTTCCTTTAGCAATTCACACTCGGCCATTAGTAGACCACTTGCTAGGGCGCCGCCATGAAAAATCGAGGGGTTTTTGAGTTGTGAGATTTTGAGATCGAACTGGATTTTTACGAGCTTTCGAGAGAGAACGCTAACCAGTGAGTTGCACTCTTGCTCGTTTTGAATTTCAGCTGTTATTTCCGCAAAAAGGAGGTTGAATTCCTGTCGAATTTCTCGGAATTTGTATTGAGACATTAGGATTTCGCTGGTCGAGCTTTCTTCCGGTTGGAGCTGTCGAGTCAATTCTTCTAGTCGAGAAAACTTGAGTTTCAGATTTTCAAATTCGATTTCTGAAGAGCTTGAGGTTTCCTCGAGTCTTTCTCTAATTGTCGACAAATTCAAAAGCCCGGCTGCACCAAATTTCTCCTGGATTTCTTCTAAGCTTCTGATTCCTATCTCGATATCTTTGAAATACTGGTCAAATTCCGTCCATTTCCTTTCCAGCTCTTGAAGCTTGATAAGCCGCGCCCGGCTCTCCTCAAGATGGTGCTTGATCAGCTCTTGCTCATCGGAATCATTATTTTCTAGTCGGCCTTGAAGGACTTTCACCATGTGCTGCAGCTGAATTATTCCGTGTCGTACATCTTCTGAAGTTCCTGGGTTCACATTACCCACAAACATCTTCTGACAATCTTGAATAACAGCTTCCAGACTGATCTCGTTTTCCTGATCGATTAGTTCTTTAGTATTCTCATTTTTCAAGCCAGGAAAATCGAAAGTCGAGATACTTCTTGTCGTGTTAGAAGTTATAGATCCGGAATCGTTGTCGGAAGTGCTTTTGAGGCCTGTAGCTCCGATTGGGCGCACTAATCGAGTTCGATAAGCGTTGACCTCAGGCTCGAAGGGAAGGAAGGGGAATTTCTAGAGCGTGACAAATCGTCGACCAACAAAAGTTACCGGCAGATCCTTAATTTGATGCAGGATCTCGGATGCTCCAGGTCGTGCTTTATAATCCGGCAGGCAACAACTAAAAGTTGAGTTTTGCAAGATCGAAATGATTCATACCTCAGGATAATTTTCTGCAGAGGCTCTATGCAGTTTGGAGGTTCCATGACAAAATTTTGGTTTCCACAGTCCAACCAAAATTGAAAGTTATCGAAAACAACGCCGTATTGCGCCAAAACGGGCCTACAAACTGGATTTATGAGGCAGGGTGATCCTCACCTTCGCTCAATTATTTCCCAAAGAACCAATCCAGTAGAGTAGATATCGCTTTGAAGGGAGGCCTAGAAAAAAATCAGCATACTGGAATGCTCTTACTCTTCGTTTCCCCGATGGCCCATTCATTTCCGGGCTTGCATAGCGCATTGTTCCGGCACACGTCGCTGTTCTCGTTGAGTTATATTCTTTTACGCAACCAAAATCGGCAAGTTTTAGGGTCCAGTTCTTGGTGACGAGCACACTAAAGTCATCTGGTTAGGCTCTGTTCCTCTCCCCCCCCCCCCGGTCTCTCTCTCTCTCTCTCTCTCTCTCTCTCTCTCTCTCTCTCTCTCTCTTTCTCTCTCTCTCTTCTCTCCCTCCCTCTCCCTTCCCTCCAACCGCGAAAAAACTCACTTTCCCGGCTTTATATCCAAATGCATTAGGCGCAGTTCAGCTAGATAAGCCAGGGCTGAGAATAGATGCTCAGCCCAGCAAATGGCCGTTGTAATCGAATAAATTATAGCCGGGTTTATCAGCACTAAATTTAAGCTGGAATTTGGCTTTGAAAATCACTTGCCTAGTCTCAAGGAATTGTTCTCACAGTACTCCATTTTAAGCACAAAATAACCGACGCCTTCTATTGCTTCTTCAGCCGCTTCGAAGATTTGGACGATATTCGGATGGCGAAGTTTTTTGAGGACTAGTTGCTCGCGTTGCAGGATTTGGTTGCATTTATCGTCGTCGACTTTTTCTATGTATTTAGCGGCGATGCAGCTAGAAATTTATGTAAAGGTTATGGGTGCGAAGCCCAGTCTAAGCCTAGGCCTCAGCCTAAGTCTAGGCTTAAGCCTAAGCTTGAGCCGAAGCCTATGCCAAGCAAAAGCTAAGTCAGCCAGAAAAATATCGGCCCTTTTTCGAAACGAAAAACTTACGGATGCTGGTCCTTCAACAATCGCACAAAACCATAACTGCCTCGCCCAAGAAATGTCGTATCCATTCCGCTGATCAGTGACAAATTATGAACCGCCTGCTGGCTGGTATTTATGTTGCTTTGGTCAGTTTTATCGCGTTCGCCATCCCGGAGCCACCAGCTGGCCCCCACCCTGCCTAGACAAAGAAAGCAACACGAAAGTACGTTTTTAGCGCCCCGGCCAGGGGGCTTATCTTGCTAAAAATAGGGGCTGAACGCCGTCGCCGCCGGCACCCACACCGGATGTGCTTTGTTTTGGTGATTGGCCAATTTTCTGCAGCTCACGTCATTAAATTTGCAGGGGATGTGGCCAGTACGAATTGCCCTAGTGGACTATGTAAATTGCGCGTAACTCTGTTGTCTTTCGTACTATGCGGTTCACCGTATTTGAATATGGATTGAGTACGGCGTGAGCTTCATATTTACGTGATTTCCGTGCTTCTAAAAATCTTCTTCTTACTATTCTTAATTTTCAACACTTTATATTTTATCAAAAAAATAGCAACACTTTCGATTTTTCGTCTAAAAAAGGCCGAATTTTACCAAAATGGCAAATCGCTAATACCTAAAAAACGCTTCCAAAACCGCTTATTTTTGGCATTACATAACCGGCTATTCAAAAGCATTTGACCGAATACGAGTACATGGCTATTGCAAACCCCGGATGATTTTTGGTGTAGTTTTTCAAGTTTTTTTTTGGTCTTATCAATTTCTCTGGGTTTAAGCACGCATTTTGTGATAGAGCGTTCCGTAAAGCCGGCCGCAGGATTACAAGCACGGGACTAAGGTTTTGCGAAGCAAGACCTGATAGTCACCAACCATTTCACTGTTGTGGCAAAAAAATGCATGCACAATTGCTGGCTGTTGTCATAATCTCGAAATTGGCGGCTAGCCAATTCGTCGGTCGTACCGAAATTGGGCTAAACGAAGAGTATCCGTCTTATGCCACACACGGCGACGTTTTGCTCAAAAAAACGGTAGAATTTTTGAATTTGAATTTTGAATTCGAACGCGATTCAGAAAATGACGGTAACTGGATGTGATCTTTGTACCTTTCTGTTCGTCTATTCGACGTTGGAGTGTAGGGATGAGATTGGCACTCGGGTAGACTACGCATTCTGCGACATATTTTGGGTTTAGGACCCTAATATCAAATGCTACGACCCGATACCACTGACGGTGAACGGCAAAAATTTATCGGTATCTGGATGTGATCGAGTTTGGTAGGTGACCCGGTTTACGTCTCTCTCTCTCTCTCTCGCTCTCGCTCTCTTTCTATCTCTACCTCTGTATATCTCTATCTTCCCCTCCCTCATCCCATCATCTAGGGCCTACGACGTCATCGAAGAACATAAATACAACAGTGTCCTTTACCAATGCCAATACCAGTTTCAAGCAAATTCTCTCACAATTTCTGCCGCCCCTAATACCACGTCTGATGTTAAAATCTACGCAATAGCGGCGAAAATTATGGAGTGGACTGACGGTGCGTAAAATTCACCGGAATTTTCCAAACAATGCAATCAGATACGGTGTTCGAATATTTGTTGCCGCAAGGACACGACACTGATTTTGCGACCACAGCCCGAAAAATAATGAATCTTCCAGTGAACACGGCAGTTACTCTCGTCACGTAAACAATTTGTCTGCACGGCATATTTTCTTATTTCAGGACAAGGCTCCAATCCACTGAAGATGACATAGAATTGGAGATGCAAGGCGCCTTCGGGATCACGAACTGCTCGTACATTGATGGGCCGGAATGCACCGTCGAGTTCTATGCGGGCTCGATGGCTGGAAAGCAAAGGAAAACGCTCATTGGAAGGTATGTCGCCGATCTAACCCCTTTAAAATGAAATCGTGATTGTGTTCTAGCGATATCTCAACTGCTGTCGTGTACGGGAGTGTCGTCACTTTCCAAAATCGAGCTGCAGCGGGGCAGCCAACTACTATACTCTATGATTTCATTAAAACTCAAGGTAAAGCGTTGGCTTTTTTATAGCTGCAGGACACGCATGGTTTTTCAAAAAAAAAAAACCCCCGCGGCCTTTTAACAAATTGGAACTATCACCGATAAAAGATCTGATGGTCCGCAAACCCGTGCGCTTAAAGCCCCCCCCCCCCAACCCACAAACACCGGGGAAAGCCGCGCCCGGGGGGGGGGGGGAGACACTTCTCTTCCCCCCAAAAAATTAAATCCCCCCTTAAAAAGAAAGAAAGCCAGTACTAGTTTATCTTAGCGGAAGACCGACATTTTTAAACTCTTCGGAAACGTCTGAACTCTAGAGCAAAATTTCGCTCTTGTTGAACCAAAGCGCCGCCACGCCATCGTCAGCCCAAACTATCTCTGGCCGTTTGATGAGTACGATAACCCGCACGGACGCAATTTTTCGACCATACTATACGGTGAGTAAGGTGAAT